CCCTGGGTTCGATTCCTCAGCACCACATAAGCAGAAAAAGCCGGAAGTGGCGCTGTGGCTCAAGTGGTAGAGCACTAGCCTTGCTTGAGATGAAGAGTTTAGGGACAGTGCCCAGACCCAGAATTCAAGCCCATGACCCACAAAAAAAAAAAAAAAAAAACAACGAATAAATCAACCTAATAAATAGTTTGCTGATAGCATTAATGGCTCACACCTACAATTTTAGCTACTTAGGAGTCTGAGATCTAAGGCTTGCAACTCAAAGCCAGTTTGGGCAGACAAATCTGAGACTCTTATTTCCAAATATCCAGCAAATGAACCTGATGTACAGGTGGTAGAACCTAAGTCATTAAGCAGAAATAACACTGAGTGAGAACATGAGGCCCAGAGTTCAAGCCCAGTATCTACTACCATACAAATACAAAAAAAAAAAAAAAAAGTTTGCTAAGATACTGTGTTTTTGTTTGTGGTTTTTTTGCCAGTCCTGGGGCTTGAACTCAGGGCCTGGGCAAAAGATTGCCCCGGGCTAACACTCTACCAGTTGAGCCACAGCACCACTCTGGCCTTTTCTGTTTATGTGGTGTTGAAGAATCAAACTCAGGGTTTCATGGATGTTAAGCAGGCACTCCTAACCCTAAGCTACATTCCCAGCCCTAAGGTATGGTTTTTTAGAAAGCAAAATAGAATCAGGTACCAGTGTCTGAAACCTGTAATCCTAGCTACTCAGGAGGCTGAGATCTGAGGATCATGATTTGAAGCCAGCCCAGGTAGGAAAGTCTATGAGACTCATCTCCAGTTAACTGCCAAAATACCAGAAGTGGAGATGTGGCCCTGGTAGTAGTGAGATAACTTTGAGCAAAAAAAAAAAAAAAAAACGCAGTGATGGCACTCAGTTCAAGCCCTACGACCAGAAAAAAAAAAGCAAGATAGAGGGAAAAGCTTGGAAATTCTTGAGGAGTATGTCAGAAAGCTGACTAGGACAAAGGATGCTGGCAGCAGCAAAGGATCAATTGAATCTTGAACCCATGACTTCCATGGTGACATCAGTCTCTGATTTTGCATCCATGTGGTATGTGACATGTTGGGCAGCTCTGAGCAGGGCAAGGAGATAGTAGGATGTGGTACCAACAGGGTGGGGTTAAGCCTTAAGACAGTGACAGACAAACAATAGAAAATGTTACAACTGAGTAGGAAAGATACAAGGCAAAGGTTCCTATGGGTCACAAGGAAAAAGAAGGAAACCGAGTTGAAGAACCAGTAATAGGAGTCAGTCACTGTCTTTTTTTTTTTTGTCATGGGGCTTGAACTCAGGGTCTGGGTGCTGTCCCTGAGCTCTTTTGCTCAAGGCTAGAACTCTACCACTTTGAGCCACAGTTCTACTTCTGTTTTTTTGTTTTTGTTTTTTGCTGGTTGTGGGGCCTGAACTCTGGGCCTGGGCACTGTCCCTCAGCTCTTCAGCTCAAGGCTACCGCTCTACCCCTTGAGCCACAGTACTACTTCCAGTTTTCTGAGTGGTTTATTGGAGATAAGAATCTCATGGACTTTGCTGCCCTGGCTGGCTTTGAATGGTGATCCTCAGATCTTAGCTTCCTGAGTAGCCAGGATTACAGGCATGAGCCATGGTGCCCAGCTTTTAGTGTTTTATTGAAGATAAGAGTCTCATGGACTTTTCTGCCCAAGCTATCTTCGGCCATGATCCTCATATCTCAGCCTCTTGAGTAGCTAGGATTACAGGCATGAGCCATCAGTGCCTAGCAGGAGTCATTGTCAGCTGGAAGAACAAGAGACAACAATCATATTAGGTGTTTGATGACTGTGTCAGAGGTGGAACTGATGGATAAGATGACAGTATAAGGGGCTGGGAAGGTGGCTCAGTGGTAGAGCGCTTGCCTTGCATGCATGAGGCCCTGGGTTCAATTCATCAGCACCACATAAGCAGAAGAAGCCGGAAGTGGCACTGTGGCTCAAGTGGTAGAGTGCTAGCCTAGAGCTGAAGAGCTGAGGGACAGCACCCAGGCCCAGAGTTCAGGCCCCACGACTGACCAAAAAAAATAAAGATATGGCCATATTGTGAGTAGGAGTGAAGATATCTGAGATGAGGAGCTCAGGGAATTGAGAGGCAAGGATGCCATCCCCTAACATCCTGATCTAACATGGTTGTTAGGTGGAGAGAGCCACTGAGCCCCCTTGCCAGAGTGAATGAATCAGATTGGAGTAGAAAGGTGAATGGCTCCACGCAGCGTGGCACACACGTGGGTAGACGAGTTTGCTGAGGAAGCTGATGGAACTGCTGGTTCTTGGTTTCTCCCGTTGCCCTCTCTACCCTCCAGATCGATGTGCGCCTCCACGATGCCCTCGGTCGCCCCCATCAGTGTGGGACAATCCAGCTCGACTTCCAACTACCCCTGAGATTCGGTCTCCAGTACAAGGGGTACCAAACCCTGCCCTACGCTGGCCCCCTTTCCCTTGACAGCCCATGAATAGGAGGACTCCCCTTCCTTTGATCCTAAAACCAGAGCCACATCCTCCACACCCTACATACCCTGCTTACAATGAGTATTTCCTCAAAACTGGAAGATGATTTGGGGTGCTCGGTTTGTGATGCTTCCATTCCATCCACCTGTTTCCTCCCAAGGCAGGCAGGGGCCCCAGAGCGTCCAGTCCTCATCCACCGGGCAGTGCTTGGTTCTGTGGAAAGGCTGTTGGGAGTGCTGGCAGAAAGCTGTGGAGGGAGATGGTGAGTCCTCTTACACTGGATTTCTGTTCTGGCCCTGGAACTAAGTAGTTCACACTCCAGGTCCAGTCCCTCTTCATATCCCAGCTTGTTTTCTTCCCAGTTCTGCTTCCTCTAGGCACATTTTTGGCGAGAGCCAGCACGAATAATTTGCCACACTGTTCACTCTCACCAGGCCACTGTGGCTGTCCCCGTTCCAAGTGGTGGTCATCCCTGTGGGGCCAGAGCAAGAGGTGTATGCCAGACAGGTGAGGAGCTGGGGACAGATGGGCTTCCTGTTGCTCCACAGTGGGAAGTGTGGAGCCCAGCTCTGGGTAGGAAGAGGCTGTTCAGGGCAGTGGGAAGAGCATTGCCCTTGGAGCCCCAAGACTGAGCTGGAGGTTAAAAATCTGCGACTGCTCTCTGCCTGATAGAGATGTGTGACACGGTGAATACTGCCAACAGAGCCCTTGGTAAAAAGTGGGTTTGACTGAATGTTAGTTTATTTTTCCGGAGCAGCTGGTTGGGTGGAGTGGTGCAGGCAACGTCCAGGGAAAGAAGAATGGAGGCAGACAAAGTCGATGTGGTGTGGAGGTGGCCGCAGTGTATAGATGAGGAGGAGGGTGTGTGAGAGTCTGAGAGCACGGGGGGGGGGGGGGGGCTGAGGATGAGTGCTATTGATCCCGATTCCTCCATGAGTCACTTCCTAGTCACCCAACCCGTGTCCCAGGTACAGCAGAGTCTCCAGGCCGCAGGACTAGCCGGTGATCTGGACGCAGACTGTGGAATGACCCTTAGCCGGCGGGTCCGCCGGGCCCAGCTTACTCACTACAATTTTCAGTTTGGTAAGAGAGCGGGTTAACTCAGGACTTCAGAGCCCTGGGATCTAGTTTTTTGTGTTTTTGTTTGTTTGATTTTTTTTCTTTCTATTAAGTCTATTAAGTTTGCTTCTGTGTTTATTTAGATTAATTGGGGCTCATTTCCTGAGCTGGGTAGGAGCCTGACTCAGTTGCCCTCTTAAGTTCCTTTAAACTGCTCCTCATACAACCACGAGGTCCCTCAGAACAGTTTTATTCTAATTGACCCCACTCTAAGGGGGTTCTGATAGGCTGATTACCCAAGCAAGCATTGGAGAGAAAGGGTCAAGAAGGGTTAACAGGCATTAACCGAACTCAGGTAGCTCCTGTAGCTCACATCTATAATCCTAGCACTCGGGAGGTAGAAGCAGGAGAAGCACAGGTTCTAAGCCAGCCTGGGCCTTATAGTACAGCCCTATCTCAGAAAACTAAGGGCTAGGGATGTGTATAGCTCAGTAGTAGATGCTCGACTAGTGTGTGCAAGGCCCTGGGTTCGCCTATAGCTCCAAACAAAACAAAAGTGGAAAAAATAACAAGGCCTTCCTAATTTTAGCCTTGTTTATTTCATCCCTAGAGATGAGGAGAAGGACCACAAGGAAAATAGTCTAGCACTGCCTTTTTTTTTTTTTTTTGGTCTTGGGGCTTGAACTTGGCCTGGGCGCTGTCCCTCAGCTAGTGCTCTACCACTTGAGCCACAACACCACTTCCGGTTTTCTGGTAGTTTATTGGAGAGAAGAGTCTCACAGACATTCCTGCCCAGGCTGGCTTTGGACCGTGATCCTTAGATCTCAGCCTCCTGAGTAGCTAGGATTACAGGCGCTAGCACTGCCTTTCTTCTGCTTTTTACACCCTCCAGAGTTGAGTGTTCTTGAAGGCTAGGAGCAGAAACACCTCAAGCAAATCACCTGCTTCTGTAGTAGTGCATATCCCCCATACTGCCGGGATCCCAGCAAGCTACCCCTCAGTGCCATGGCTGGCACTACTTCCCTTTCCTCCAACATCCCACCCACCCCTCCACCCCATTCATGTGTACAAGTTATCGTTGTGTCTTCCAAATCTGTTTGTTTTTCTCCAAATGACCCTAGTGTCTGACCCCTGGGCTTGTGACCAGAAGTGATAAGGCCGGAGATGGGAGCCTGGGCCAATTCCTTATCTCCTCAGGATGGGCAGTGAACTGCAAAGCAGGCACAGCTAAATATATACTTCTTTAAACCATATCATGTTCTCTCCCACCCTTCCTAGGGATTTAAGTCCCCTAAGGTCCTGCAAAGCAAAAGAAATATCCCCAGTGGATGAACTTGTCTTGACATTCCCGAACCTTCCTTCCTCTTTCTTGCAGTAGTTGGCCAGAAAGAGCAGAGTAAAAGAACAGTGAACATTCGGACTCGCGATAATCGACGACTCGGGGAGCGGGACTTGACTGAGGCTGTGCAGAGGCTGCTGGAGCTGCAGAACACAAGGGTCCCTAATGCTGAAGACCTTTTTTGAGCCTTTGTATGCAGCTGCAGCAGAAACCCATTAGCTTCCCTCCCACAGGAGATCCTGATTCCTTACAACTGCCAATCTCTGCTCCCTTGAATAATGGACTTGGTTAGGGGCTCCACCGAGGGAGGGAAGCCCTACTACTTGGATGTGGGGAGAATGAAATGAAGGCAAAAAATAAACTTGAAGTTGGAGTTGTGTCTCAGAGTAGATCACCTGCTTAACAAGTGTGAAGTCCTGAGTTCAAACCCCAGTACTGCTGTAAATAAACACAACTGGAGCTCCTGGATATGTGTCTTCATTTCTGACTTCTAGAGAAGGATAAAAGAGGGGCTGGGAAGGTGGCTCAGTGGTAGAGC